TATTTCAAATAAGATTTTCCAAAAAATATTCAATGTACAGATTCAACTCAGAATTTTATTTTATATATACATTTACAACAAATAGAATTTTATTATAGATATACATTTTTACCAAAAACGAATTGAGTAACGTGTTAAAGATTAACTTAGCACTTTTAATTTCGATGAGTAATATAATTTTAATTTTGATAGATAATATAATATTTAAATTATTTTTATAAATATATATTTTTTTTTTTAAATGTTAGCAGTTCAAACACAGGCATGTTTGCGCGGTTGAGTTGACGTCATATTCCATGTTCATGTAATCGTCTTTGATGATCCCTTAGTTGCTATTCTACCATCATAGATGCTAAAATGGCATTGTTTAAGTAAAAGACTGCTGTGACAACTATTTTTTCTCCTCAAACGATAGAAATAACATGTTATCAATATATACAATTACTTGACACGGAATCTGACGTCAGATTTTGTTCTAATCAATGTGCCGCGTTTGTAATTTTCAATTTGCCGTGCGTATTTTACAGGTCCTATTAATATTATTTATGTTATTAAGAATAAATACATAAGAAATAGCAGTGGGGATATAATATTATATGCTCGATATATTAAAAAAAGATATGTATATTAATTTTATTAAAGAAATTTTATCGATATGCATATTATGACCCATTCAATACCCATACAATACAGCCAAAGCCCATTTAAAAACTTATACATTAATGCCTAGGGGCTAGATTACAAACATAATATTAATTTACATTCAACTGATAAAATTGCTTTTTATTGTATCTCCTCCGCCTAGGGCGAATAATATAGTATAAAATTGGATTTAAAAGAAATTTTAAAAGCGTATTCAGGCATGGTTTTTTAAAGATTGTTTATAACTTTCTTTGAAATTGTGTTCAATAAGATCGTTCTTATAAAAATTTCTCATTAACTGAACTATCACGTAGGTAAGATCAAGAGTTAGATACATAAAGCAGCGGTGCCGTGGGAATAGTGAAGAATGGGTGCCTTGCTTTAACCAGTTTGCTCAGAGGTGTAGTGCAGCCTTATCGAGGTCGGTAGATAATGAATCGCGTGTCAATATTTGCTTCTTGACGCATTCGCGGCAACAAAGAAACTATGAAAGATGTCTGAATTATTTTTTTTACCCAACTGTGACGAAGTCCAATAGGGGATTATGTGTTTGACCTGTATGTATGTACGTGTAGCAAGACACACAGCAAGTTAGTGTCTCCAAATGCATAAGCTGTTCCTAAGTTGTTCTATATTTTCATTTCGCATTTTACACAGTCGGAAGTTTAATTTTGTTATACTCTTCATTTTTCATTAGAACAAGTCAATTTAAACATGATTATTACTAATATATGATTGTTGAATAACATGTATTAATTACGCACCCACATTAAGTTACGTGGAGCGACTGGAACAGCCTTGGCTTCTACACCTCCATGCTGCCCACGACTACCCTCATTTGGTCATTCATGTGGGCGCAAATACCTAATCACGAACTAAGCAACCTTATAATGACCCCGCTAAGAGTCACTTTAACGACAGGGTTGCGGAACCGTCAATATCAAAGTTACCGCCTACGCATCAATCAGTAGTTACAATGTTATGACAATTTTATATATTTATTAATAAAATACGTTGTTTTATATCAAGTCGATGCAATTCGCAAGACCAACTCTTCTTTGCCATAAATATACAAAAAACAAAGCAAAATTAAAATTATAACTTAGCCTTCTTATGTAACTTAATAATTACTCGTTTAGCAAGAAACACATGTTTAAAGGCTATTAAACTCGCTGCTATCTTTTATCGCACTGAAAAAAGTATTATAAGTTTGTAGTGGCATTTTAGATAATGGTTATCAGAAAATCTGAACGTTATTTTGTATATTATGGAGGAATATTATATAAAAATATAAATTTCATTGATACAATATCTTTCAATTGCCCAATTTGTGTCATATTTGATTGATCACTTACAATATAATGCTTTGATTTAAAACAAAAAAATAGTTTTGTTTACTTTTTTATCATTTTGTTTATCTGTAACAGTTGATTTTGCTGTGCGTATAAATTATCTTTTATGATACGCTTTTGACTCTTCCTTACTATTGAATGTTTATTTATAAAAGCATATTTTTTTAATTAAAGTTTCCATTAGAAAAACAAAAACAAATCTAACGCACAGGAACTGTACATTTTTCAGGAATAAAATATTTGTTATTCCAGAGTATAATCTATCTCTGTGCCACATTTCATCCAGATCCGTTCAGCTGTTCTTGCGTGATTGAGTTACAAAAATCCATCCAAACATGTAAACCAGAACCTCTAAAAAGAAAATAAAACAGCATCTTCTCACACAAGTTGTTCCACAATAATTATATTAACTAAGTACTATTATTATGCATTATATTATACAGATATGTATTTGTACATTAGTAGTAGTATGTACATATGCTATGGTATATAATATGTTTAATGTTTTATTGTATGTATATATAATATATATTTATTTAATTATTTACATTTGAGTAACTGCACTTTAGTCTGCTTTTGAATACTTACTATCTAACTCACTTAGGTTGACTGGAAGAGATCTCTTCTAGAGATAAGTCCACCTTTGCTAACTAATTTTATTGTTTGTTACCTACTCTCTGTATTTTACATATAAGTGCAATAAAGAATAGTATATAAACTTTCACATTTATGGTATTAGTAAGACTTTGTTGAATATTTTTATATGTTCTCCAAATGAGAAGGAGTAAGTTAATATGGACGTTGGTTTAAAAATCATAAAATACTGGAATGATTAAACATCTTTTAGTCATGTATAAAGACCCTAAATAATTGACAATAAATTTATATTCTCCGTTTACTTTTCAAAGCAAATGATATCATATTTAGTACAATTTTTTTATCTAATGTTTTGTATGACCTACACCTTTGGTAGTTTGTATTTTAGGCGATGTAAATAATAATCAAAAATAGAATTATCAAATAAAATTATGATGATTAATCACATTCTATAGTTTAAAACAATATCAAAAAGGTAACTGTAACTGTCTGTCTCCAACTGAACTTTTTAATCATTTTCTTTGGTTAAAATAAATTGGCATTTTTAAAATTCATCTAGTATGCCGTCAAATCTGACCGTAAATCGTTACGGTATTATGACATGTTGTATTTAGGTGTCGGGCCAACAGGCCTTGCTTCAGCATGAAACGTGACTAGAGTTAATAATTTTCGTCATATAGGTACTTTGCTGGCTTTCAATGTGGCTATTCATCTGACACAGATTCTTTATTATAAATTTATAAATACGTATTGGCGTAAATTTGTTATTGTTCAAAGAACGATTTGACTAAAAATTATTTAACACATTTTAAGCATAGTATAAAATTAATTATAACTTTTATCAGACACGCTATACCGATTTCAAAATCAAATAAATGTAATTGCCCTTAAGTGTTTTTTTTTATAATTTATATATTATAGAGAGAAAAATATAGTTTAAAAAACTAAAAAACACGCTTTAATGATGAACCGAACTAAAAAGCGAAAAATATTTTTAGTATAAGAATCAAGACGTGATTAACGAGAAAATTAACATTATTATGAAAAAAGGGTGGGGTGCTCGATTTCAGTTATAAATATTCCATTGGTATGATTTCTAAAAATAGAGTTAGTATAAAAATATTTTACATCCCACGAATTTTAATTTTCCATTTTTTAGATTTTAAATTATTATTTTTTTTAATATTTATTGTATTGTCATTGGTCCTTGTTAAATGTGCAAAGTTTCAGTTCAATCAGAAGTTTTGCAGTGGGTGAAAATCGCGTTCAAGGATTCCGTTACAAACATACAGATGAAACGCACGCTTTTATTAAGCGTGTTAGTAAAAAAAGTAACAAATCAAAATACAAAATACAAATAAAACAAACCAAAACCGAATTTAGTAATCTTTTTTTAAAGTCAGTTAAAATGAACATCTTGAACTTTAAGACGGGATTAGGTGATGTCATTTAATCAGCGACAGATCCATGAAATAAATATAAACAATATTTCTAGTGTTTTGTATATTAATTCATTACTATTTTAAATCCAATGCAATTTACATAAACCGTCGAGATTATTATTCAAATTGCTAATCAGGTGTGAGGAGAATTGATAATATATTTCTGTTTTTAAATACCGGAATTATTTCCTAACAAACAAACAAGTACCTACCTATAAATAACAGTAGGTATAAGACAATAACATAAACATTAATTTAACTAATTAGCCATTATTAAATAACACTAAGTATCTATAATAGCAAAAAAAATGCTTTCCAAATGAGTCGTGCAATCAAATTTAGTATTCAGTAGCCAAGATAAGGTATAAGTACAAAATAGTAAGGTGTGGCACAAAACGAGGCTATGGCGAGTCAAAGCTGTTCGCTTGCGTTACGCTGTGTACAATTCTCGTATGACTGAAAACGGCGGACGACTGCGGTGCCTATACGAAGTGGCGACATTCCACTACTCGCGCGGAATGTACCACGGCCCTACAAACAGGTTAAGCACAGGACCCGAGATCCTTCTGTTATACGCCCTGATTTCATACACTTACTCTTAATTACTATCATTCTAATGATTAAAACAGCTGGATTATACGTCGATTAGTTAAAAGGCACGCTCGCTAAACTACATTCATTTAACCAATCTCTTTCTACGGCGACAATCTAACAGATGCCGACCGCAAATTGTCACCGCAGAGGCGTTCTGCTTTACTTCACTTTCCGAAATGCAGGATCGCGTTACAAACATCACTGGACCATAACTCGGCGGGGCGAAGACAAAAATAAACTTAATATCGTGTGCGTTTCACGACGCATCCGATTTATAACCGGGCCGGTGACAAGAAACAGCGATACACTCGAGCTGCACTCATGTTTCCAACGTTTGTACAATAATTGAGTAACGAATAAAAATTATACATACCTTCATCCAGAAGTCGTTCCATGTGCATGAAAACATTCGGGAACGCAGCCAGTTGCTTCCTGTCTTTGAGCAACTGAGCTAAGTAGTCCGCTATACTTTGTGTCGAAGGATTGGTATTATCACACATTTTGATTACTATTTATACAACTAGAGACACGTTAAATGTTTATATGATCACGTTTAATATGAAACCGTACTTTAGTAATTGGTTATTTTTATTTAGTGAGAAAACTATGTTAGAAAAGTTAACTTCACTACCACACACATCAAAGTTTCGGTCACCACTAAATGACGAAGTTGACCGAACTGAAGTTGTGGGCGAATATAGCGCTGCGCTTGCGCTATCGTCGAATGGATTTTTTGTGAGCGCGTGCGGCTTCTGTCCGTAGTGTAGGCGTAATAATACCCTGTAGTCGTCTCACTCGCACTGCTTCGCTAATGTATTGCTGTCGCACTCTACTAAAAGAGGACAGCGTTCAAGGAGGCGCCATCTAGTTAACCCACTTACAACTACCACAACAACCGCTTATTATATAGATGACGTACAGTCTAAATCTTAAATCCGCAGTATTATGTAAATACAATTATCATAACTTCACGTTAAATAAGTCATACAAGTGAAATATCCTATACATATAAACACAGGATGACATATTGTAGGCTCGGAATTAATAGCGTTATTGGTTTAATCTATACAGATGAATAAAATTGAAGGATCTATTTGTAATGTCAAAATAACAGCTTTTTACTAAATGCGTATGGAAAATTATATCTGTACTAATTATAAAAACACAATTTATATTTTTTTTGTCTGTCTGTTTGTGTGTCTGTTTGTTTCGGCTAATCTCCGAAACGGCTGGACCGACTTTGATGAAGCTTTCACAGGTAGATGGCTGATGTTATATGGTACTCCATAGCCTAAGTTAATACTTAGGCTATTTTTATTTTAGAAAAAGAACTAAGGTTTCTCCCAAAAAAAATTAAAACTTACCTAGGGACACATACAAGCGAAGCGAGGGTAAGTCGCTAGTTAACAATATATTATGCCTACTAAAAGCATTAATATTTATAACTATTTACCATAATTTATATTAAATATTAAAATTATATTAAAATATTTTAATGAACTATAATAACTAATGTCCCACGTGCTCTTAGTATTTTTTTCTTATAGATCTTTCATATATAGATCTTTTCGCAATTTGTGAAACTTAAGCATAATGGCCAATTTTTGTGTTTCATATAATATGATATTAAACATGTTAAATATTTATTAATATTATATGAATAAACAATAGTGATACGTATTTGGATAACGATTTGAAAGGCAATTTAAAAAAAAAAATGCAATAAAACTTTTTTATTAAAATACTAAAGGAGAAAAAGATTTTATATTTAGATTCGCGTAAGTCTAATAAAGTATTATGAGAAAAAGATAACTAGTGTCTATTTATTAAAAGTACATCTTCCATAAGCTACTTAAGTAACCTCTGCCGCAGGCTAACATCATTAAACTGTACTCAATTTAAATTCACACTAAGGTAATATGACCTTTGATATTACTCGTAGTACTTAAATTTCAATGTAGATTTTCATTGAATAGAATATTTATTTTCTAATTTTTGGTGATTTTGTATCATTATTAGAGCATTAAACTTGTCAATAAAAGTATAATGTATTATTTTATAATATCGTATAACGAATAAAAACATAATTATTTATCTATACCACAGATCACATAATACTATACTAATATCTATTCTTAATATTATAAAGAGGCAGAGTTTGTTTGTTTAAACGCGATAATTTCAGAAACTAATCCGATTTGAAAATTTATTTTTGCATTGAGGAAAACTATAGGCAATATGTCATATAATATACACACAGTCTATCTATTCCATGCTACGTTAAAACGTACCTAGCGACGAACCCGAACAAAGCGAGGTTGATTCGCTAGTTCAGCTATAATTCAGCTTTGTAACATTTTTGTAACAATTCGACATTTGTTTAGATTCGATATCGTTCTTATAAATAAGAATATAATATCTATCTATCTATCTATCTATATATATATATATATATATATATATATATATATATATATATATGTATATATATAAATTGCTGTTCGTTAGTCTCGCTAAAACTCAAAAACGGCTGGACTGATTTGAATAATTATTCTTTTTTTGTTTTGTTGGGGGTATGTCAGGGGTGGTTTAAAAATAAAAAAATAGGGAAAATCCAAAAAACCTGCTGGAAATTCGAAAAGCTTAGAGCTGTTTATTTTGTATGGCAATCACTAACCGCTAAGACGTAACCCGAGCAAAGCGAGGGTGTCGCTAGTAGTTGTTAAAAATTGATAAAAAGATAATATTAGTTTTCTAATTTCTTGTATTTATAGATACACTATACCTACATGAATAATGAATATCTATAGTGTATCTAAAATACATTGCACATACTTATAAATTAAAACGTGTTTGTAAACGTTAAAGGAATAAAGTTAATGATGAAATAAAAAAATCGATTAAAAAACGAAGATAAATAATAATCTTCGTTGTATTAACATAAAAATGATATAAATTCGTTTAATAATTAAACATTATATATCGTAAGCAGCCGCCAACGTATTTGTCATGTTTAGATAGAAAATAATAGATTTTTTTCTTCCATACAAGAGCAAGTAGTGGGCGAATGTAGAATTGGTTTCCATAACGTTATGGTCTGACAATTTACGAAAGGCGGAGCCTCGGTTGATTACGCAATTGCATTATGTTCCTTTGTTTTCGTTAGATACATTTCCGTAAGTAGTTAGATGATCCATGTTATAATCAAAATCGATAATAGTAATCAATGTTTGAAATAAGAAAAATCATATAAAGCACCCTCTAAATTTTGTTAACAATTTCGCATAGAGAAAGACAAAATCTCTGTGTAAATTCTCAAGTATATCCTCCATTTATCTTTTTTATTGGAAGCGATAAAAGTCAAACTGTGAACACAATAAACTTTCCGCTTTTTTTAACATTATTATGTATATATATTTATATAACGAAATGCATCGGTATATTATTTTTTTCTTACTGAACAACCCCATCCTCAATAGGTACTTCCATCGTGTCTTTGCTATTCTACACGATATCTATCACTACGACTCTACTGCTTGCCTATAGAGAAGTATTGAGAGTCAAAAGTTTTTAACTTATTTTAGAAATAAATAATTTCCTAATTTAGATTTGCTTTCTAAGAATACTGTTAAATATATGTAATCATTATTGTTACGGATATTAAATCTTTGACTAGTACGTACCTAAGTAATATGTACATATGTATATGAAGATGTCCTTTATACTTACTAAAGTAATATTTATAATTATATCTAGTTCTAAATTATATCTAGTTCTAAATTAAATCTGTACCAGTCGGTACTAACAATCATTTAATAGATATACCTATTCAGAATGCTTAAAACTTAAATTTTGCGTTAATTATAATTAATCCATACATATAATAAAATTGTAACTAAGCCGAATGTGTACATTAAATATTTTTTAGAAAATCTTATTGAAATAGACATTATACTATGGTATATAGCCCTTATATATATATATATATATATATATATATATATATATATATATATATATATATATATATATATATATATATATATATATATATTTATCGACAATTTTGTCTGCCTGTCTGTGACCGCATCACTGGAAAACCACTGGAGGAATTTTGATGAAATTTGGTATGATGATAGCTGGTTATCCGGGTCAACATATAGGATACTTTTTTACTGTAGGAAAATATGTTATCTCTGAGAAATCTATACTAAACATTAAAAAGCAAGCAGGGACGAACTCGAGTGGAGCGAGGATGAGTCGTTAGTTTGTCATAAATTTTATGTTCACACTACTTTTGATCCTAGTCAATGATTCTTGTAGAAACAATTATTTTATTACACTACACCATAAAATAACAACATATACTAACCCAGATACCCATTGGCATTTATTTTTAGTTCCCCACAGACAAATTAAGAGTCTCATGAGCCACATATAGAAAAAAATGTTCACCATTCATACTATGGCAATTGGTTCACTTAAAAATATACGTACACCGTATCAGCCAAATTCGTTTTTAACTCTCTATATACGATCAATTAAAATCACCCGAGTTGGTTTCGTTTTATCAATTTCGTTAAAAGGATAAATGGACAATTGACCCCTATCCGATGCCCTGGGATCTATCGAATTAAGCGGATTAAACCGAGTTCCACGCTCTATTTCCAAAATACTGTACGTATTTTTAACTTTATAACTTTATTCTTCTGTGTAATCTTACGTTTGTTTAATAGAAATTGTTTGGGATTGCTATTTAATGATAGTGAAGTTAGTGTTATCTAAGAGATAAATGCTATATATGTATAATATACCTAATAGGTATAATTTTATACGGGTTAATTAAGGTTTGAATTCATAAATATATTGGCATTCGCTATAAGTATTATATAAACGTTAATTAATTGCGTTATAAGCTTAAAATTCCCTATTTAAGAGAGATGATTGGTTCTAATTCAGCATACTTTATCCTCGTCAAGCCAATCCACGTGCGGCATTCAATTTTTTCAAAGTAAAAAAAAAATAGTGTCAATATTAGTTTCTTTACTGCGGTTACGGCTGGTAGGACATAAAAGCTTGTAAAAATATTTGAAGTATGGGAGAAATTAAAACTTACTCTAATAGAGATATTAACATCCGTTTAATAATGACTCCAAAAATGTAATATCTAATTTTACATGACAAAATGTCAACTTAACTTTTTCTTCTTTTTTAAACGGGCGAAACGAAACAACATATAAAAACTATTTTAGTGTTTCGCCACAAATAGTCTATTTATTAATTCAGTATACCAGCTATCCTTGTTCCGGATATAACTCTTTGTAGAGTTAAAGCTGTTACAGCGTGAAGAACAAACAAACACAATCAAATCATTAATAAGGTTTGGCATTCATATTTCTCTGAAGATATTCCATTCTGTTTATACTACACGTAAATGTAACGAGAGACACATTAAAGAGGGGACAGACCGTCAAAAGTCAGCCCTTAGTCATAAGAAGGA